GGCTGCTGGAGGAGGCGGCCGCGCTCCCAGCACCCCTGGGCAGGGAGGAGATGCGAGGCGTGACTGTCTGGCTCTCCTCTCCGTCAGGGGTACCTCGAAGGGTGCAGAATAGCAGGACTCCCTCCCAGCGGTGTGTACGGTGACAGGGGACGCTGGGTGCCATCCCCTTGGACTCACCTCGTTTTCCGGGTCTTTGTCCTTCCATCCTCAGAGGCTCACACCAACCTGGGCACACCCTTGAGCGGGCGGTGCCGTGTTCTCCTCCACTGGGAACGGGGCTGTATGCCAAGCAGAAGATGGTGGCTCCAGGAAACGAAAGTGCTGCAAGATCCTCCTGAAAGGGAGAGAAAGAGCAGAGTCACACTCTTCGCTGCCTTGATTTGAGAAGGACATCACCGCTACCTCCTCTGGGGTCACAGCAGGACTTTTGTCAAGTTGTGCATTTCTGGCTTCTTCGCAGGACACCGTGGCTTAACCCTGGAGGGTCCGATAGGGTCAGCTCCGGTGGTGGGTGCGGGATTCAGTGCACGAGAGTGGGAAAAGACAGAGACTCGCTAGAGACAGGGGGACTGACAAGACAGACTCAAGAGCAGGTTTAAAATTTACTTTTAAACAGACAAGTCCTTGCAACTAGATACAGTGAGATGGTGGTGGGGGTCGGTCTCTTCTCTGAGAAGAGACCGAATGAGAGGAAACAGCCTCAAGTAGTCAAGCACTGGAACAGGCTGCCCAGGGAAGTGGTGGAGTCACCAGCCCTGGAGGTATTTAAAAGATGTGTAGAGGTGGCCCCTAGGGACGTGTTTAGTGGTGGACCTGGCAGTGCTAGGTTAGGATTTAGTCAGACTAAAGTTCCTCTCAGGAAAGCAAGTCCAGTAATTTGCAGCAGAAGAGCTGAGAGACTGAAACCTTGGCTTTGGAAAGAAATCTTCCCCAAATTTACTGTCAATAAATACAGTTTTAATTAATTAATCAGGCTAAGATCAGACAGCATGTTATTTAGACAAAGTACAATAATTCCAATATCAACTACACAGGAAGAAGCATCAGCAC